AGATACGCCGGTATCTTCACAGTTGCCAGTCCAAACCCTGGTGATTCAGATTCTGAACTAGCTAGGAGGCCTACGAAGCGGCCTCGTCTCGACGCTACTTCCGACTTGTCGTCCAACCCTCACTCGGATGGTATCGTTGGAACCACGAGAGTTGTCCCCACCAACACGGACGACACTCCACCGAATGTCCCCAATCCCGCCACAACCCATCAAGCCTCGTTCGATGGGGTGATGTCCTCCACCATCCAGTCCAACGCCAACAAACTTCAGGTTTTGATCCAGGAACTCTCCAAGGAAAGCGTGTATGAAGCCAAAAAAGCAGTAGCGACCGATCTTGCAAAGCTAGAAGCCGACCGGCGAGCCTTACAAGAACGTGCAAGGACGCTGGCGTCCGATCGAGAACGACTCAACGAGGAGCGATGGAAGGCGGCCCGGAGGACAAAGGAACTCGACGCGACGGACGCGGCCATCCTCAGGAACAAGCTCAATGCGGATGAGCTTGCGAAGGAGATTGAGACATCAAAGAAGGCCCTAGTTGAAGAGAAACGAAGTCTGGGAGACACGAAGCAGGCGATGGACGTGCTGTTGAACAACCTTGAACAGCAGGGTAAATCCATCCAAGCAGCCGAAAAAAGCGCTAACGCTGCAGCGGCCTTGGTCAAGGAAGACTGGCCAAGAAGGCTTCGGCGACCACGGAAAAAATGCGAAAACGCAGGGACGAAAAGCATAGGTTGGAGGTGCAGAAGCTGCGCACCAAGCTCGACGAAGACAGGAAAGCTTTCGAGGAGGTGAAGCGATTGGAGGCGGATATGCGGAAGGAGAGGTTGCTAGAGGAGAAAGCGAAGTGGATGGAGGAGCAGAACCAGCGCTTCAAGGCTGCAGAACAACAATGGCGATGCAAATACGAAGACAGCATGGACAGCAGCGGAAGAGTTGATGAACCAGCGGAACTCTGAGTCGGATGGCAGGCATCAAGAGATGAAACGACAACTGTCTTTAACCGAAGAAAAGGCCGCTGGGAAATCCAACTTGGTCCAGGACGCCATCATCACCGACTTGAAGAAGCGGTTTGAAGAGCAAGCGGAGGAGTTGGTGGGAGTGCGAAGGGCGGCGGAGGGGGCCAAACACGCTTTCGAAATTGCAACCCAGCTAAAGGAGTCGGTATCTGCTGTAGAGAAAGCAGAGTGGGAGAAGCAACGCAACCAGCTCATGCGTGCTCTCAGGGTCAAGATCGTGACGTTGCAGCAGTGCGAAGCCACTCTCAAAGACGAGAAGGTCAACACAGAGATCGAGCGACGGTCTTTGCACCAGGCAATTGACAAGCTGACCGAAGAGCTACGTGAAGTGCAT